AAGCAGCAACATGTCCCTTAGCTCCTAGGTGGAGGCATGGCCAGGGGTCTCTGCACACTGGCTTCGCGGCGCCCATTGGCCGGAAACAGCAGCCAATGGGAGCTGCGGGAGCAGCGCCTGCAAGCGGAGGCAACACATGGAGCCACCTGTCCGTGCCTCCATTCCTACCGTAGTAGCTGAGGGAGGGACATGTCGCCGCTTCCGGGGAGTCCCCCGAGGTAAACGCCAGCCGGAGCCCTCACCCCCTCCTGCCCCAGCCCTAAGCCTCCTCCCACACCCAAATTCCTGCTGGGGTGGGGTGCATTGGCCCGAGACTGCCCCAGCAGCGGCCAGTGCAGCTGATCCAGGGCCTGCCAGAGCTGCTCAGGCGGCCCCCAGATCAGCCGTACTGACCGCTCCAGCAGTCCCAGGAAGTCATGGATTCCATGACCTCCGTGACGAACTTGCAGCTTTAGTGATGGCCCATCAACTTCGGTGACACCTGGCTAGAAGCGTCAACTTGTCCGTTGTCTTTGAGAAACCCGTTTACCCATTCCTCAGACTTGTCTGGTAAACACGTCAGTCATGATTCCAACTCCTGTTCATACCTTTATGTGTAATGTTGCCACGTGCATTTCACCATGATATTACTGACCAGCAAGTGATGTTTTCACCAGGCATGTTCCGTACACAAATGACTACACTGGTGTGGAGGGTGTGAATCCAGGGTGCATTCCATCACACTCTTTTTCTTTTTAAGACCCCACTGAAGGGAGCGATGGGTGGAATAGCTCATTTCCTCATTGTTTTGTTCAACAATTAGACCTAACATCCAACATACCAATTTTGGTCCATTGATTTCTGATCCCACCCTGTTCTTGTTCACCAGGCGCGATCTTAACACGTCCTCTAATTCTATCAGGAGACCCTTTTGTTGGGTCTAATTCAGCGCGTCTCCCTTTGGCACCTTTTCCCGCCAACTGGTTCTTATGAACTTTCACTCACTTCTTATGGCTGAGCTTGCGGTTCGGGTACAATTATCACAGCAGCAGGGGCCAAGGGCATGAAACTGGGAGGGGTAGGCCGTGCCAGGCTGGGGAACCCGCTGCCTATGGCAGGGGCCACGTTAGAAGTAGGACTGGGCAGAGCACTGGGACTAGGCTGTGGGGACCTGTCCCTGTTAGGCAAGGTCTAGAGGGGCGTTCAGGGGCTTTCCCAGCTCTCTGATTCCCACTCCCAGGCTCACGGTGAGGGGGGGTCTCAGGGCTGTCTCTTGCTTACGTAGGAGCCAAACCCCTTCCTGAACTCCACCCTGGAGGTGGATGCCCTGATCCGGAGCTCGAGCCCTCCCCCCAACAAGGAGCAAGGCCGGCTCAGCAGCTCTACGCGCAGCCTGCCGTCCCTGCACTTCCCCCCCGACATGATGCCCTTTGACGAGGCTCTGCGAGATGTCACCGCCCTCAAGAGCGTCCCCCTCGGCCCAGATCTGGGGCCACGTGACCCGGTGTCATGGCATGGTGCCCAGTTCCTGGAAATCAAGAGCCTGGAGAGGAGAGGTAAAGGGGGGGCCCCCCAGCTTGTCCAGCCCTGGGCACTGGTTTCTGGGGATGCGGGTGCTCACAGCCACAGCATTTCAGCCTCCACTGCTTTCCAGCCCTGGCCTCTCCCAGCAGGAGTGTGAGGAGCCTGGCCTGCACTTCAAGGGGGGTTGGAGGCTTTACTCTGTGGGGGGGGACGGTGGGAGCCTGTAGGGTGCGAGGGGCCTGGCTCTGGCTCCGGCACCCATGGCCGCTCCTTTCCCTCGCAGAGCTGGAGAAGCAGATGAAGATTGAGAATCTCTTTGTGACGTGGCAGCAGAGATCAGCACAGTCCAACATGCCCATCGGTGTAAGTGCTGCCCATCAGCATGAGCGTCCCGCCCCGCTCTGACCTGGTCACTGC